CTTTTGAACACGACTTATGTTTATATCAGTAATCTTGGGTGGTATACTCATTTAAAGTAATGTAATCATCTGGTTTTAGCCAGGTTTCTGTCAAACAGCACATCTAAGTTATGATCTGTGATCATATCATATTTACAAAAAGAGCTTTTGTAGAAAGGGATCTAATATTCATTAAACCAAGCTTTATCATTTGTTTATCTGTATTATACCTGTCTTTTTATTTGGTGAACAACAATTCAATTGTTACCCTTAAATTGTTTTGGACGTTTTTTTGCATTTGCTAGTTCGGGTCTCTGTAGTATGACATCTAGGAGGAGGAGTCTCTATGTGCTGAGAATTAACTGATTTCTGTGATGTGAGGCGGCTAGCAGACGGGTGGTTTAACCAGTCTGTCTGCTTCCTGACCTGGGCCCCAGTTTGTCAAGTATGAATTCTAAGACTATGTGCCATATTTCTAGAGAGAAGAGCAGCACCACCCCAGGAGAGATGAAGACCATCTCTTTTCAACAGGTTAGGTCTGCCCCAAAAACTTGTCCAATTGTCTACGAAACCTATGTTATTCTGGGGTACCACTTAGACATCCAGCCATTGAGTGACAACAGTCTGCTGAATTGAAAATAAAAAAAATAAATAAAAACAAATTCAAAATATTAATAAAACCTTTAATAGTACATCTCAGAGATACTAAAACATTACTCAATCTAACATAATCTAAGACTGCTCAATTACTTAAACATTGTATGCTTTATTAATTTCATTTATTTGTGCTTTTTTTATTTGATTGTAAAGGAAACAGAATCGTTTCAAAACACTCTTTCATTTGTTGTAGTGTTTATGAATATGCTGATGTATTTATTTTATTATTATTTTAATTTTAAGCTTTAGTGATTTTAATGTGCTTTATTGTTATTAGTTTTTTTTTAGTACTTTAGTTTGTTTCTTAGAAGTTTTTAGCTTTATTTCAGTTACCAAAAAAGTAATAGCTTTAGTTAACAGTAACAACATGAGTTTTTTTTTTTTAAACAATAAAAAAAATATCCAGATTCTTCCCAAACTCATTTAAATGCACAATGTTATTTTAGGATCGATATAATATTATAGTTTTTTTTTTTTTTTTTTTTTTAAGTAGTTTTTAAAAAAAAAAAATTTCATTTTATTTATTTATTTTTGTCAATTAAAATGAAAATGTTAGAATGTGATGCTGTTAAACATCATGTCAGAGATTACAAGTCGTGTGTTTTGTGTTCAGGTAGGCAGTCGCGGGATTGAGGCATCGTGGGCCGGCGGGATCCGTGGCAGAGAGGTGATGGACCGATTCTTTCCCATGATTCCACAGCTGCTGTCCGATCATGGCCTTTTTTATCTGGTGACCGTGTCAGAGAATGATCCAGGTTTGTGTTTGTGATGTTCACATTTGCATTCACATCAGTATCTTCAACAGTTTTTGAACTGGACTCGTGTTTTTCTTTTCTAGAAGAGATTGTGGATTTGTTGGGGAAATCAGGACTGAATGGTCACAAGTGTTTGTCACGTCAGGCTGGACGAGAGAGACTTTCTATACTGCGATTCAGTAAGTCCTGAATAGCAGATGACCATCAGCACATGAAGACTGTGAAACACACGTGATGTCCAGCTGTTTCTCACCCCAAGGGTTTCTGGGTTTACAAGTGTTATTATAAAAATCAAGCTGATGTTTTGAGGTTCGTCCCGCTGCTGAACCATCAGTAATTCAGGCTGCGTTTGTTTGCATAAAGTCTGCTGCAGCTCAACAACTGGGTCACAAGGACCTAGTTAGTGATTCCTAACGGATTGACGGGCATATTTACAGCACGAGTCCATCAGCTGAGCCGTTTATCATGTTGATCGTGTCGGATTCCCGCTGCTTCAGTTTCATTCCATCAGTTACACTCTGACTGGCTGTTTTTGAGCAGCGCATGTTCACTATGGAGTGTTAAATGCTGTTACTGACCCGCACTGAAATCCAGAGTGTCAGAATACCACTGCCATCAATCACAATCTTAAATATATATATATATATAAAGTTTTGGTCGTTTGATTCTTTTTTTCCACACAAGGTCTGTTTTACACAAACTGAGAGACGCGTCAACATAAATGCATTCAAAACCAGAAAAGAGAATATGTATATATATATATAATTGAATTGGTTTTTCTATTTCCCATCTCATGTTTTTTGTTTTATTTTTAAATGTCTATATAGTTTTTGTTTGTTATTTTAGTATCCTGCTCAACAAGTCTGCATTTATTTGAACATACAGTACAAATACAATACTGTTGTTTTTTTACTGTGTTTTTGATCAAATCAGTGCAGCATTTATTCCAAACTCATGTACTCTTTCTATCGCTCCAATTAACTACTGTAAATCTATAATTTATAGTCTTCATTACTTATAAATTAACTATTTTTAAGCCTTAAATTGAAAGTCGGTATATTGAAAGATGAGAATTAAATATTTAAAAAAAATGTTTGATACTAAGTAGTTTTCTTCTGCAGGATAATGTAGTCCTTATTGGTCCCAAATACGGTTGTTTATTATAATAATAAAAAAATTGTTGAAAAAAAAATGCAGATGGCCTGAACAGAAGTATATGCAAAATGAATATGTAGATTAATAACTTTGGAGTTAACAGTAGGTCTGTAGTTAAAGATTTATAAGTTAGATATGCAGAAAGTAAACAGGACTTCTGGAATAAAGCAGTGAATGGAAAACTTGAGATTTGAATGATTATTCTGTAAACAGTGTCCTCCACTAATATTGGCACCCTTGGTAAATATGAGCAAAGGCGCCTGTGAAAATAAATCTGCATCATTTATCTTTTTGATCTTTCAAACAATTCACAAAATCCCAACCTTTCATTGAAGTAAAACAATTGAAAGTGGGGGGGAAACTCACATTATGAAATAAATGTTTTTATCCAATGCATGTTGGCACCCCTAGAAATTCATATGCATATAATATCTCTGAAGTATATTCCTATTCATGTTTACAGTTTTTGGTACACCAGGATGACTTAGGATCATGAAATTGTCCAACCATGGCTTCCTGTTCCACAGGATTCTAAATATGAGGAACACAAAGGCCAGATTCCTTTAATCATCCATCACAAAGAGTAAACCCAAAGAATATAGTTCTGATGTGCAGAACAAGATTGTTGAGCTTCACAACATAGAAAGTGGCTGTAAGAAAATCTAAAGCATCAGGGGAATAATCAACAGGAAATGTTACAAATCTGCCTGGAAGAGGACGTGTATCTATATCATCCTAATGTACGGTGAAGAGGAGAGTTTGAGTGGCCAAAGACTCCAAGGATCACAGCTGGAGAATTGCAGTGCTTAGTTGACTCTTGGGATCAGAAAGTCTAAAAAATATATCAAACAGCCACTATATCACCACATGTTGTTCGGGAAGGTTTCAAGAAAAATCCTCCTCGCTCATCCTAAAACTCCAGCATGTTCAGTTGTCAGACACGACTGGAACTCAAATGGGACTGGCTTCTACGTTCCTATGAAACTAAAAAAGAGCTTTTTGGCAGCAAACCCACCAGATGGGGTACTTTTCATCCCTGTTTGCAGCAAACCCATGTCCACGGTGTTGTGGGCCTATTTTTCTGTTTAGATACATGGCATCATGGATTCTATCAAATACCAACAGATAAAAAATCTAAACCTAACTGCCTCTGTTAGAAATTGTATAATCGTGGTTGGATCTTCCATCAGGACAATAATCCAAAATCAACAAAAATGTGTCACTGAGCACAAAATGAAGCTTCCACCATGGCCATCCCAGTTCAGGACCTGAACCCTATAGAAAATTAGTGGGGTGAACTGAAGAGAAGCGCCAACATGGAGGTGTGAATCAGAAGGATTTGGAGAGCTTCTGTACGGACAAATGGTCTCTGATCTCTTGTCAGATGTTCTCTAAACTCAGGAAATATAGGAGAAAACGCAGAGATGTTATCTTGGGAAAAGGACGTTGCAATAATTGGGGCCAACATGAACTAGAGAAAAACATGTATTTCATGGGGGAGAGCCATCCCACTCTTAAAATCACTTGCTATGACAACTAATAAAAAGTTGAGTATTTAGCAAGAAATTCTTGCAAAACTTTAAAAGGCATTATTGAAAGAAAAATTGGACATTTCATATAATAAAATAAATTATTACACGATTATGGTCTCCGGTCTGAAAAAAAAAACCTGCATGTGATTTGGCATTTCTTTATATTTAGACAGTTTACTAATACTGCTCAAATGTGCCATTAATGTACTGACACAAATATAACTGATGTAAATGACAAAAACAAAGTTTAAGGCTGATGTCTCTATTCATTTTCACAGAAGCAAAGCAGCAGATGTTATAAATAAAAAAACAGTTAACAATGTTATTGAATAGAATCGGCCTATCTTAAAACCGTTATTGCACGACATAGGCCTATTCTTATAGGCTACACAAACAGTCGGAGATGCGTTTATGCATTTTTTTTTCTATTTTACGCATGGGTAGTAAATCAAGACTTCGCAAGTTCTCTTGTAAAATAAAATTATAAAAAAAACATGGAATAAACTGTGTACAGAAAGCGAGACAATAACTCTCAATATTAGGCTACTAAAAAGGTCAGTTTAATCTCGCAAAAACTTCCGTTAATAAAAAATCTGACTACACTGCACAATTGATCTCTTACACTGCATCTTTGTTGTTTTGATGAATTCGGTGCTTGCACGTACACCTCTTTTATTATTATTGCAGCTTAGATGTTCAAATAGCTGCAGCACTCCGACTTTGCCACAAGGAAAAGTGTGTACGCCTGCTCAGACCCTGACGTGGTGGTAAGTACTTTTCCACGTCAAAGACCGTTTTTATAAATATGAATGTTGCCGTGGATTTTAGCGTACACACACTCTAAGATCAAATCTGTGCATACACACATTTGATAAATGAGGCTCCTGGTGTTCACAAAAAGAAAATGTATTAATACAAATGATCAGTCTCGTCACAGAGCAGTGCAAGTTTAATGCCAAGAGCAAATATTCATCTAGTTCCGTTACATGCAGAGAATAAAGTTCATGTACGTTTTCAATAACTCTCAGGCATGAGCAAATATTCATCAACAGCGAATCTGATTAATACTGTTCAGGATCCTGCGATAGAAGAGCCATTAATAAGATTCAGGAATTAATTTCTGGAAAGATTTGAGATGGAATGTTTGAATGAAATTCATTTTACTGTATGATTTATGTTCTCAGATCACAGTCTAGAGCTGAACTGAAGGAGACTGAATTATATTAGTGTCATAAGCGTGATCTGTGCGTTGGTATCTATCCCTGAACGCTCTGGTTCCACACGAGTCTTCCGTCATCTCGCAGCTTCACCGCTCCACTGCCCACCAGCTCTAGGGCTGCTGGAAAGGCACGATGCTCCGCCTCCCGGATGCGCTCTGATAGGCTGTCCTCTGTGTCAGTCACCAGGATGGGGACCGCCTCCTGAACAACAATCGCCCCTGCATCCACTTCCTCCTGTGGATTCAGAGACACGTTACACTCATGAGTGAAATTCACAAAACCTTTTTTAAGGTTTGCACAAAACAAGCACTGTGGCTTGGTCAGCCAGGCTGAGACAACATTAATTAAAAAAATGCCTATGACAAAGTGAGAAGGAAAAAAAAAAACTTGAAATAAACAACTGCAATTAAATAAAATATATAAATGCTTCAATTATTTTATTATTTATTATTTTATATATTTATTTTAGCTAGTTGCAAAAGCAAAATTTCTCTCTTTTTTTTTTACTTGTAGTAGTAAAATAATTGAAAATAAGTAAACAAAATCTAATAAATAAATAAAAAAACTAATAAAAATGATAAAAACGGAACAGAAATTTCAGGGGAAAAAATATTGAAAAAAAAGTCTAGTTCAGACTGACCGCCACAAAGTGCACAGTGCATCCGGTGACTCTGACGCCGGCCTGGAGAGCCTGTTTCTGTGCGTTCACTCCTTTAAAGGACGGCAGCAGGGACGGGTGAATGTTCAGCATCTTACCTGTTTGACAGATGACAATGTCAAAAACACAACTGACAATACAATTCAAGCTAATGTTCACATGTTTTAATAGGTTTTGTTTCCTTCTAAAACAAATGTTTTTTTTTTCTTAAAATTGCAGTTAAATATCAGGGATCAACGCTAAGGATTTTTTCTACTGGCCCAGTGGTTCAAATTTTTACTTGTCCTGCCAACATTTTCACTGGCCCTGCCACAAAAAATAAAATCATTACTGTTATCATGTATTCTAATAAATAAGCTTTTATGACGCCAATATTTTAGATACTAATTACATTTTACAATTCTCTATTTCAATTTCGATACCGCAGCAAAATCACTAGCCAGAAACAAACATAAATATAAAGTTTAAACATTATTAAAGACAAGTGACAGCCAGTAAATAAGAACAAATGAACAAATTACAAGTAATAGCACAATCAAATATAGGCCTAAATCACAAAAATAGAAATTATATGATGCTTTAAGTTTTTATGTTTGTAGATGTTCAGGTACAGAAATGGAAAAATCACATTAAAAATAACATTTGCATATTCTTCACTCTGTGCTGCACCTTGATGTTTCATAGCCATTTGAAATTAGAGGCAACCACTGCATTTTATTCATGAATTGAAAAAAAAGAGCAATGTTTGATTTATATTAGACTGTATAATTTCAAAATCTGAGGCAAAAACAGAATAACCTGACTTTATTTTTGTGAAATTATGCTACATAAAACATCTGTACGAAACAGAAACAGCAGGTGAGCTGAATGAGACCTGGATTCACTCTCGGACAGCAGACAGTGCTTATGGTACAGTGATACAGCGTTTCCTTGCTTACCGCTGTAAACACAGCATCGCTGCGCGTATTAACCATAGACTGTATAGGTATTAACACTCATTTAAATGCATCATACGGAGACAAAATGAAAAGAAAATGCCATTTCTGAAAACAGTCAGTTCCGTTCCCCTCAGAAACACATTCATATAAAATTCAATGTTTGGATTTTCTTTCTATATTTCTCACATCGTGAACAGTGATCTTGTTCTGTCTGCTACAGTATTTTCTCCTCTTTGTGTGCATCTTCAGCATCTCTGGCCTGTTAATGGCCGTTTACAGACCAAGTATAATAATAACGTAATATTTCCACACAAATGGCCATTGGGATTATGATTGCAGTGTAGTTTGTGTGCAAGCACGGAACAGAAGATGGTCTGAAATAAAACAAAAAATGTCCGGTAGATCGGTGCATCTGTACTCCAGTGTATAAATTCAATATAGATTAATTTATTGTTAAAGCTACAAAGTTACTTGCCAGGATGGGTATTTTGACATACTTTTGTATGTATTTGCTTGTTCAGGCGGCTCGAGCGTGTGCGCGGCTGTCTGTGCACGCGCTGTTCACACAGAATACTGAAAGGAGTTGTCTTTCGCGCCCAAATGCTTTTTAATTTCTTGAATTTTTTAATTAACAAGTCTTAAAAACACATGCAAATGATAAAATGTCGTGACGACGCTGCAGTGGCCCGATCGGGCAAGTGACAAATCCGTCTACTCTCCCGAACGTCTTTCATGCTGGGCCCCGGGCCATTGGGCAGTCCTTATCGTGGAGCCCTGAATATTCTTATATCGATTAAAAAATAAAAATGTTTTTATTTTTTTTATATATTTTATAATTTTTTTCCTGTCCTCAACAGTGTTATTTTACTATCATAAAGATATTATTTGTTTTTTTAGCAGGGCTATCGATTTAATGCGTTAATCTAATTAATTATGAAAAATAATGCATTAAAATATTTTAACGCATTTAACACACCCGTCCCGCCCCCGATCTAGGAAGGTCATCCATTTCTTATAGTTGATTGGTGACGAACATGATGCAGGGCAACAACTCACTGCGTGTAGCAGCCTATAGAATGCAGTTATATTAATCCCTGAATGAATTAGCCATTTGAACAAATCGAATGAATGAATGACCCAACAACTTGCTCATTACGACATTTACAGCCACCTACTGGAAGTTTTAGATTCTTATTAAGAGCATTACGTCATTAAAAAAAATAATCATAATAATAATTTCAGATTTCTATATTAATAAAAAACTAAACAGAAAAATAAATAAATAAATCCCATTAAAGGGATAGTTCACCCAAAAATTTAACTAATTACCCAACCTCGTAGTTTCATACCTGTATGAAACTTTCTTTTGCGGAAACTAAAAGAAGATATTTTGAAGAATATGAAACCAAACTGCTTCGGTTACCATTGATATGTTCCAATGTGTATGTTGTTTAGGCCATTATAGCCAAAAAGTTTAATAATTTCAAATAAGAGTCAAATAAAATGCTTCCTTCTAAAGCTGATTTTTGTGATGTCTATTTGATGCTTTTCTCATTTAACACAATAATGGCTTTTTATTTTTTTTTTAGGGGTGATTTCCTCAGCCAAATTTGATGTGATTTATATTTTTAATCTATTGACAGGCCTAGTTTTTAGTTTTATTAGTTTTTATTAGGAAATTTAAATTAGATTTTATTTTTGTATTTTTCATTTTAATTTTGGTTACTGCTTAGTAATTTTATGTCATGTCTGTAATTATTATTATTATTATTATTTTGAATTAGTTTTGGGGTTTAGTTATTTTAGTACATCAAGTTACTAAATGAAAATGAGATGTTGCCTTGACAACAAGCTGAAATAATTTTTTCTAAAATCTTAATTTATTTTAGTTAATATTTTATTTCAAGTGATGGAATAAGTTCTCTTTATATGGTTTTAGTTTAAGTTAACTATAACAACCTTGGTCCTCAATATCGCTTGTCATCGTGTTAGCATTTTATAAAAACATTTTTAACACCAGAAGTCGGTTCTGTAATTAGATCATTTTGGTGGGAAATCAGCAACACAAGCATCAGTAAGAATTAGCAATGGATCTGATGAATTCTGGGGTGTTTTAGTTGGTTTGTGTCACTCTAAAAATCATTCTAAATCCAATTAATCAAATAACAGAAACCACTGAAAACTAGCTTTTCAAGCCTATAACACTCACCACTCCATTTCCTGACGAAGGGTCCCGTAAGGATTCGCATGAAACCAGCCAGACAAACCAGTTCCACTCGAAACTCCTCCAAAACTTTGTCTATGGTGCCGTCAAACTCAGCTCTGCTGCCGTACAGCTTATGATCCACAACCTGACACACAAACAACACTGTTATTTCACTAACATTGAGATTATTATTATTATATTATTTTGCATTAAATTTTATTTGTAGATTTTCTGTTTACACTTTTAGTTCAAGTTTTAGTTATTTTAGTACTTCAAGTTAACAATAAGCAATAATGAGAAATGGTGCCTTGGCAAGATGCTGAAATAAAATAGGTTTGTTTTTAATATTTTATTTCACTTAATTTAAGTAGCAGAAATAAATATAATAACCCTGCATCTGAATGAAGTTTGGAAAAATAACTTTAGAGAGGAGCATTTTGCTAAATATAATGCATTATATTACACATTCATTATATTTTCACTTAACCTGTTCATTATTTAATGTATGTTTGAATAAATCCACAGGAAAATAAGTTATTACAGCCAACGTTTAAATGTTTATATTTCAACAACAAATAGGAGTCAAAACATAATTATATCATTAAAACTTAGATATAAAAACTGCATTATGCACAACATAATTTTTTATATTATATATTATTTTTATAAGTTTGAGTTACATCAATGAAAAATGTATAGAAAAAAACTACCTTATGCACAAATTTAATTTAATTTGATATTATTATTTATTACATTTTTTTTAAAGTTTATATATGAATGTTGATTTTTAAATAAAATGATTCATTTATTTTATTGCTTTTTTAAATTATTTAATTTGAGTTATTTTAATTGCATAAATGTAAATTGATTATTAATCTTGTTTAGGAGCATCATTATATTTCAGACAAACCCGTGTCTGAATGCCGGCCATAGATGCTCTCTTCAGCCCCATGACACCCGGTCTGTTGGAGATTACCATCACGATCTCCGCCGAACTTGATGGTTTCTTTACCTGCTCCATCAGAGCCTGCAGATTAGTTCCTGTCAAACACCAGAGCGTCAGTGTTATTGGCTTCATTTCACTCTCCAGTCATACGTGATTTACAGAAGGACACGCACCGGTCCCAGAGATGAGAACGGCCACTCTGGTCCTCTTGCGTGTTGAGTGTTCTCCATGAAGAGCTCCGTTCTGCAGGACACTGGTGTCCGGTGAGCGGCCCGGACTGTCCTTCAGACTCTGCTCCAGGTTTCTGATGACCACGGTCTCCGCTCCTGGACATAGGAAAATGCATGAAGCATTAGTCTAATGTTGGATCATTAACATAACATTACATGTTCCTTTAGTTAAAATTAGAGCTGTCATCGTTAACGCATGTGATTAATTTTACAATCCTTAACGCATTAAAATAATTTAATGCAATTAACAAAAAATTACTGAAGCACAATTTCTATTCTAAACCTTTAACCCAATTTTGCTTCTCTGCTTGCGATTAGATCATTTTAAGCTGCTAAACTCCAGGAAAGTTTTCCGTCCAAAGATCCAGTAAGCGAATGCATTCAAACAATCCGTCCACAACAGCGCTAATATAAAGGAAACCAGGCTGATTACATCAGAGAATGCAGAGAACAGAGTCACGCTGCGTTTTCAGTGAATTATTAATTCCAGTGTGTTTCGCTTTTAAACACAAGCTCTGTCATATTCTGTGATTGTCTCTGAAGAGCGCGAGCCTATCACACTCACTGTATGAAGTACAGACTGAACGGATTGTCAACACATCCCACCGCTGTATGGCCAGATGAGACTTAAACTATGTTTTCTCGACTGGATAAGCAGTCTCGCTAGTAAAGTTGTGATGGATGAAGACTGCAATCAAGGTAAAGACGATTGTAGTGGCGTACAGGAGTCGTACAGTAAGCACGCATGAGTCCGTTATATTAATGCGTGTATGAGTGCTCTTGACGCACTGATCACACATTGTATTTATGCACAGGCACAGACATTTCCGTACATTCACGTTGTTTCCACACACATTCGCAATAATGTTTTGATTTGTCATGTGTATGTTGCTGTGTTTAGTTATTCTGAATGGATCCGTGTACTGTAGTAGATATATACAGCCAGCAGGCGGATGGTTTAGGGATTTTTTGGCATCTCCACGTGGTCCTGTTTGGTTACACAACTTCTCTAAAATGTAAAAAAAAGCTATATATATATATATATATATATATATATATATATATATATTGCTTTTTTTCTCTTTCATATGTGCTTATATGGGCTCCTAATATCATTTGGTTCTTTGGTGTCCTTTTGGAGTCCTTTTTTGGAGAGACATCTACATTTATCCTGAGAAAAGTATATTCTATTGTGAATAAAATATAAGTTTATGAAATTATTAAATTATTCCATTCCTTTTTTACTCACAATTTGTACAGTGTCCCAACTTTATATATATATACATACACACACTGTATATATATATATATATATTTATTTTTTTACCAGTACATTAATGAGAGTTTGGTGCTTAATTGTCAAGGAAACATCAAAATCTTATGCAAAAAAATTGCGCAAAAATTGTAATGAAAAAATCATAATAGTTTGAAAAACAGGCTTCATACTAAATATTATTTATCCTCATTTTCTTTTCACCCATCTATATACAGCATTACTAAATGTAGGTGAATGTCTCATTGGGATGTTTGTGAGCAAGTGAGGTTTTTTTTGCATTACAGTAATGAGATTTTTGGTGTAAAAATTTGCTTTTTAACCCCAAAAGCACTGATTAAATGCCATGAAATAATCAAAATAGGAATTTTAATAAAAGCCACAAATATCTTATTAGTTTGGGAGTAAAATGTCCTTTCATTACAAAAATAAATAAATAGACTCAATCTAATGTTTTTAATGCACTCTATTTTTAGTGTGAAATATGACTGATATATAAAGCAGCAGTAAATGTGGGTGTTTGTGTGTCTCACCGGGTTGTTTGTGGGCGAGTGAACCCACGATCCAGGCCTCCTCCTGGGCCTGCAGCAGTCGCAGGACCCGCTGCGCGTCCTGTTTGCTGACCACCAGCACAGCACCCAGACCACAGTTAAATGTGCGGCTCATCTCCTCCTCTGACAGGCTGCCCTCCCTCTGCAGCCATGAGAACACAGCCGGTATCCTCCAGCGGGATGCGTCTGAAACACAGGTCAACAATGCTGCTGGGAAACTTTTATCATTTTAATTTAACTATTAACATACTCCCCAGTCAAGTATTGTTCTAACATTAAAAAAAAAAAAAAAAAAAAAAAAAAGGAAGACCAGAGAAAGAAAATAAATTAATAATAAAAGTATACAAATAAATATATTATTATAAATAAATAAGGGCTGTGCAAAAAATGGAGCGGAATTTACTACACAGAGCCGTAGTTCACTGACAAGCTACACAAAATCGCGTTCAAAATCAGCAATGAATCACCTGCGATTTTGAACACGATTTTGTGTAGCTTGTCAGAGAACTACGGCTCTGTGTAGTAAATGCCGCTCCATCTTTACTGACGAGATGCACATAAAAATCGCATTTGATTTTTTGCCCAGCCCTATTAATATATATATTTTGATTTAGAACCATGTTTCTAGCAAGCTCTTTCTAATTTAATAATCAGAATTAATATCCAGATGTTGCTCACCCAAGTCCACTGCCAGTTCTGGTGGAAGAATGCGAGGAATATTCTCCAAAAGCCCACCTCCTGTTATGTGGGCGTAGGCCTTCACGGCTCCGCTACGTAGGATTGGCTGAAGCAAGCGGCTGTAGATCTTGGTGGGAGTGAGCAGAACTTCACCTTCAAAGCACAGCACAGATGTGAGGACGAAACAAATGCAGCTCTGGTACTAAAGCAGCCGAGATACTTTCACGCTAACATACCGATATTCTGTCCAGGCTGTCCAAACGGAGCAGGTGAGCTGTACTGTAAGCTGGTCCGCTCCAGGATCTTGCGTACAAGGCTGAAGCCGTTGCTGTGAAGCCCAGAAGAGGCGACGCCAATCAGCAAGTCACCCTCCATGATGTCCTTGAGTCTGGGCAGGACAGCCCCTCGCTCCACGGCCCCGACGCAGAAGCCCGCCAGATCGTAATCACTAGGGCCGTAAACACCTGGCATCTCCGCCGTCTCACCTCCTGAACAAACACACATGCAACCACTGTTTAGTATCAATATTATAGTATTTATTTGTATATGACCCTGGACCACAAAACCAGTCATAAGGGTCAAATTTTTTTTTTGAGATTTATACATAATCTGAAAGCTGAATAAATAAGCGTCCTATCCTTTGTTAGGATAGGACAATATTTGGCCGAGATACAACTATTTGAAAATCTGTAAACTGAGGGTGCAAAACAATCAAAATATTGAGAAAAACGCCTTTAAAGTTGTCCAAATTAAGTTCTTAGCAATGCATATTACTAATCAAAAATTAAGTTTTAATATATTTACAGTAGGAAATTTACAAAATATCTTCATGGAACATGATCTTTACTTAATATCCTAATGGTTTTTGGCATAAAAGAAAAATCAATCATTTTGACCCATACAATGTATTTTTGGCTATTGCTACAAATATACCCCAGCCACTTAAGACTTTTTTTGACTTAAGGTTTTGTGCTCCAGGGTCACATATATAAACATGGGCATGGTGAGTGCAGATCTCTAAAATCGCACCATTTTTGCACCAAAACAATGAATTTACCAAAAATAAACAGATTGTTGCTTGTATTTGCTTGTTCTATTGTTCTTGTTTCTCTGCACTGTTGCTTTTAGATATTGCTCAGTATAATAAATAAATAAATATGTATCATGTTTAGGACTCATTTTTGTATTCAGGATCAAAATAAAGTGCTATAGCAAAATAAATAAATAGCCACATATATAAACATGGGCATGGTGAGTGCAGATCTCTAAAATCGCACCATTTTTGCACCAAAACAATGAATTTACCAAAAATAAACAGATTGTTGCTTGTATTTGCTTGTTCTATTGTTCTTGTTTCTCTGCACTGTTGCTTTTAGATATTGCTCAGTATAATAAATAAATACATAAATATGTATCATGTTTAGGACTCATTTTTGTATTCAGGATCAAAATAAAGTGCTATAGCAAAATAAATAAATAGCAGTAGTAGTAGTAGTAGTAGTAGTAGTAGTAGTAAGTATAGTACATGATGAAATTAGCTGCAAAAATGCATTTAAAAATCAGTATTAAAATTAAGTACAAATAAGTTAAATAACAGAATAAATAAAAAAAGTATTGATTGTTTTAACTTAATTTTATGGTAAAAAGTATACATTATTTTAAATGACAAGGTGTATATAAAATATATAAATTAAATAATACATCTCATGTTTAGTAGTAATTTTTGTATCTTAGATCAGAATAAAATGATTTAATTTGGTTGTAAAAATTTTTTATTTATTTGATGAAAAGTGACTTAAGAGAAGAGTGAGTTTCATCATCCGAATAAACACACAAAACAATATTAATATTTGAAGCTAAAAAACAAATAAATCATCTCAAGTCTAAATCACACTAAGAGCAAAAATGACAAAGTGAAGTGACAGTATTTTTTTTTTTTGATTGAAAACCAAAATTGGTATATTTCACCAAAATCTCTCTCTCTCTCTCTCTCTATATATATATATATATATTAGGGGTGTAACTGTTTGCGTATCGTGTACTGAAGATCTGCTGACGGACACCGTGCTGCGTCGTCACCGGAACATCCCAGCTGAAGATAATGAGGAAATGACATCTCTCCCTTTGCCAAGTGCATTCCAAATGACTACATAATGGCACGCACGTGCCCTGCTCACTCCAAAGTTTCCACTCCAAGGGGATAGGGATGATCACTTCCATTTGGAATTTGCCCGTGAACCGTTTGATACACGTACTGTTACACCCCTAATATATATATTAGGGATGCAATCAGGCCCGATGCTGAGCTCCCGTACTCGTACTTGTTAAAATGCCCCAATACCAAACTCCGATACCACACAGCATGTGCCATCAGACAATGAGACAACAGAACAACAGAATGGAGTTATTAGAGATTAAGGATGTCTACGAAGTAAATGTATGCATGCATTATATGAGTAGCTTTGGAATATAAATCGCAGCACGTTGCATATGAAAAAAAAAAAGCGACTTCTATTTCTGAAAATATCACAGTTAGGAGATTTATAGCGAGTGGTTCCCTGCATTATTACAGCAAAGCTGGATGATTACAGTACTAAACCGCTGCAATGGAGCAGCTCTAATGCTATTAAATTAAAGATGTACCATAGAGCAAAAAATTAACAGTGAAAGTAACAAAAACTTGTAAAATACATTTTAATGGGTATAATTAAGTGTGAAAATAACCGAAGGCTATACAGTCAAACCAAAAATTATTCAGACCAGATATTTTTTTACTAGTGGGTGCAGGACACTATAGTTAATTTATGTAAAGTGAGGATAGCAAAATAAAGTAAACTGTGACAAATTATACCCCAAAATTCTTCATACAGTGGACTACCAGTAAAACGGATACAAATTTGGGACCAAAAATTATTCAGACCGAGTCTGGGGGAAAAAAAAATTAAATTCAGGTTTGCATGAAGCTGGGTGACAGCATGCCCAGGAGACTACAGGCTGTCATTAAGGCTAAGGGTCGCCCGACAAAATATTGATAGTTGTGTAAATACGGTCATACTAACAGCTGTCTAATTTTTTGGTTGATTGTAATCCATTAGGCTACATACCTTTCTATCAAAGTTATCTAACATTATCAAGCTGAATTTGTTCCGACTCAGTTTAACTCAAAATTATTGTTATATTTTATTACCATTTTCTAAACTATAGCGAATAAACTGTAATAATGTGAAAAAAGTTGAAGGTGTCTGAATACATTTTGGTTTGTATTAGAGATTAAGGATGTCTACGAAGTAAATGTATGCAATGAATATAATGTTAAACATTCAGTATTGACTGTATAGCTGTTGTGCGCCAGTTGATGAGCAAAGCACGCTGAGTGGATTGAGCGCTCCACGGTGCAGATGCGCGAGCTTGTCGAGTGAATATACCTTTCTCACAGACATCACTGGATATCAAGCTGAATTTGTTCCGACTCAGTTTAACTCAAAATTCTTGTTATATTTTATTACCATTTTCTAAACTATAGCGAATAAACTGTAATAATGTGAAAAAAGTTGAAGGTGTCTGAATACATTTTGGTTTGTCTATCTATTTGATAAATGAAGTCAACCAACTAACAATATACATACTCTTTTTGTTTCTGTACCCAATATTTTAAAAATTTACAAATGCAATAAAATATTGGTATCGGTATTCCAAGTACCCAAGTACCAAAAATAAAAGTATCGGTATCGGGCGAGTACTAGAAAAAGTGGTATCGGTGCATCCATAATATATATATATATATATATACACACACACACACACAGTATATACTACGGCTGTCAATCAAGTAAAAAAAAAATTCTGATTAATCACATCCTTTTTCTGTGATTAATTGCGATTAATCGCACACTTCATAAAATTAAGCATCTTGTTTCAAATGTTTATTTTGTCATCATTTGATATATCCAGCAAAGCAAACCAAAAGATTGAAGGGTGATTCTCAAAAATCTGTATTTTCTGCAAGCTTTTCTCAGGATAAATGTAGATGTCTTTCCAAAAAAGGACTCCAAAATAACTCCAAAAAGAAACTCCAAAAGGACACCAGAGAACCAAATGATATTAGGAGCCCATATAAACACATATGAAAGGAAAAAAATGCAAACAATTTTTTTTTAGAATTGTATGTGTATAGTGCAACAGCAAAGAGCTTTTTTTACATTTTAGAGAAGTCAAGCTGCGATACCGAACAGGACCACATGGTGATGCCAAAAAAAACTAAACCATCCGCCTGCTGACTGCATATATCTACTACAGTACACGGATCCATTCAGATTAACTAAACACAGCAACATTCACATGACAAACCAAAACATTATCGTGAATTTGTGTGGAAACAGCGTGAATGTACGGAAATGTCTGTGCCTGTGCATAAATACAATGTGCAATCAGTGCGTCAAGAGCACTCATACACGCATTAATATAACGGACTCATGCGTGCTTACTGTACGACTCCTGTACGCCACTGCAATCGTCTTTACCTTGATTGCAGTCTTCATCCATCAAAACTTTACTAGCGAGAAAAAACTTAGTTTAAGTCTCATCTGGCCATACAGCGGTGGGATGTGTTGACAATCCGTTCAGTCTGTACTTCATACAGCGAGTGTGATAGGCTCGCGCTCTTCAGAGACAATCACAGAATATGACAGAGCTTGTGTTTAAAAGTGAAACACTGGAATGAATAATTCACTGAAAACATGACTCTGTTCTCTGCATTCTCTGATGTAATCAGCCTGATTTCCTTTATATTAGCGCCGTTTTGGACGGATTGTTTGAATGCATTCGCTTACTGGATCATTGGACGGAAAACTTTCCTGGAGTTTAGCAGCTTAAAATTATCCGATCTTTACGCGTTAAGGATTGTAAAATTAATCGCATGCATTAACGCGTTAAAGTTGACAGTCCTAGTAATAACATATTGAGTGTACATTATCATATTTATTAATATTATTAAATGGATGCCGCCTTATTGGAACAATAAAGCCCTCCACCTACCGCTTACCATACCCAATAACACTGTATTATTAATGAGGTGTTTTATTTCCACTTTTCAAATATTTCCTTTATTTTTATTGAAAATAATTGCCTTTCCGATCTGATATGTGATGGGAAAAGGGGAAGAACGAGTTTGGCAATTTGAGTTGGCGGATTTGAACTCGGCTTGATCGCATTAATTATTTCGCGTTTTACTCGCTACACCACTGATCCTGTAGATAAGCAGGTGTATTTTGCAGTGCTGTTTATCACAGCCAGGCATTGGTGGGCGGAGTTACTGTAGCCTCTGCCAACAAATTGGGCTATTTGTACTAAGAGTAATAGACACTCCGTTTATTTTTACAGCTGTATTACAGCGGAATTTAATTCTGTTTGCATAATTTAAATATTATTTTTATTTATATATTATGTTATTTTTATATTATATTACTGCAATATTATTATTATGTAAAGG